GGCGGGGCGGTCGCCGCCGCCTGGCCCAACCGCCTGCTGCTGGGCTGCTTCGTCGTGCACTACGCGCACAGGTGCGGCTCTTCGGCCCGGGACGGGGGGCGCCTGAGCCGGGGCGCTTGGCAGGGGGACACTTCCTTCCCCCTTCCCCTTCGGATGCTCCCGGCTGGGTAGCGGGGGGTGGCTGGCGGCGGGAGAGGTGCGGTTCGGGGTCAGTCTGGAGCTAAACGCCCGACTAACTTTTTTCTGACTGCAGGGAGCGAGATTCTGCTGTTAATTAATGCTGATTATTAAATATGGTAATCCCTAAAGTATCTTCTGCTTCTTTATGTGAAGGTGTTCAATGTTTTTACACCAAATGGGCAAGCAATCGGGGCAGTGCGGTGCTTGCGGCGTTGGTTTTGCTGCTCCACGGTGTGCAGTGGCGTGCTACGGCGCCTTGCAGAAGCGGCATGGATCAGCCTGCGGCATCGTCCGTACCCTATAGCTGTAGCTCTGGTGGTGATCCCCGCTTAAGCAGTGACTGACTTGATCAGGAAGTTTTAAGGGCACGGTGTTCCAGCAGGGAGAGTTCAACTCTGGATCCTTGATATCACTTTAATACAGTGAAACAGCAGCTAATTTCCAGTTATGTCTTTCAACACAGTGTTCATTTCAGAAGTTTAACTTAATGATCCCTGTAGGCCCTTTCCGATTTAGGGCATTCAGTGGCTCACTAAAGCACTCGAAAGCTGAGGCTGAGTGCCCTGTATTGCCATGCAGTCAACAGTACCTGGGTATTTTATATGGGAGAAAGCAGTTTAGCTGGAGCTTGGGTAAAATTTTTGCTGTTCCCTTCAAGTCATTGACAATAATTACTGACGATACTCCACAAGTAATTTTGCAACCAGCAGCAGTAGTTAGGCTAGTTTCAAGCTGAGTGTGTGGCTGATACACTGTTGTTTCCCAGTGCTTATTGGAAGAGACTGTTGCTTTCGACCAGAAGTATTCCACATCCTCACAATCAAGAAGAATGCAGCATATGGTTGGCTTTGTGGCTGACTGGCTTTGCAAATCCAGCAGTGTGTCTTTACTTCCTCTTTTTGCATTCTTAAGATAAAGAGATTAGCATTGGCATGGGATCTTAACTCATCCTCAATATTTGGGAAAAGCTAAGAAACACAAAGCAAAGGTTTGTTCAGAAAGCTGAGCTGTAGTGCAGTTTCTTTTTTCCAGTTGTTTATTGCTGGACTGAGGGACTGTTCTGTAGGTGAATTTAGACTGGAAGGGATGTCTGTTAGTCAATTCTGTTTGTTGTAATGTAGTGGCTTTAAATATTCATATTAATGAATTGGTAATGCTTTCTTGAAAGTTGTTATGCGTTTGCTTTCTCTGGGAAGGCTCCTCTGAAGCAGTAAGTAGTCCTGGGGTAGCTGGAAAATATGTGGAGGTTGCTCAGGCTTCAGTAAGCCTGCTCCTAAACTATTATAGATTATAATTGAATTGGTAAGTGATTGGAGTTGGCTAGTGACAGGGGGCAGAGCACAGAAACATTCACCTGTTCTTGTTTGGAGCTTGTTTGGGCAGTTGTGGTTTTGTCATGTCTTTAACAGGTGTCATAGGGTAGACCAAGATTATCAAGGGACTTTCAGGGCAAGGAGGAAACTGAGCTCAGTTAAGTAATTTCAAGGGGGTTGGTATTTTCCCTGGAAGTGCTGGTAGATCTGGTATAGGTATTGTGAGACCTGTCTCATTTCAGAAAGCTTGATAATATCACTGAGGATTTGGGAAAAAATGAGGATAAAAACACTATGTGCTTAACGTGTTGCCTTTACTGCTGTTGTTAAAGTAATTGACTTAGATCCAAAGTTCAAAATTTCTGTTAGAAGGGGAGAGAGTGCTGATCTTGTAATTCCAATTAGGCAACAAAATTAACATTTAATTGTTAAAGCAAGAGTGACTGTCTTTCTGAACTAGGATCAAAGACTCCTCAGAATTTGAAAAGCAGGATAATACAGACTATGGATTACAGCTTTGAACGTCAAAAGTGTCTTTTCTGATTAATGAAGCAATTTTTCTTTCCTTGTTCGCTATAGGGCACTCATATTTCCTCTTCTGATCCGGGAAGGAAAACCAACGCCATTTTTCACTTTTGTGCTAGCGCTTCTATTCTGTGTTTACAATGGATACTTGCAAGGCCGAAGCTTAAGCAACTATGCAAAATACCCTTCAGGCTGGTTAAAAGGTCCATGTTTCATTACAGGTGAGTTAAAACGTTATGAGACCACTAGGTGTAGTTTTCCTTTGTCTTCACAGCTTTTTAATTTTTTTATTATAATTTTATAGTGTCTTCAGTCCCATTTTACAGCTTCTCTTATAGCTAATTCTCTTGTTTGTTGTAGCTGGAAGCCTTTTTTTAACCTCTATTATTTCAGAACTGTGAACTGACACCTCTTCCCACAATGTCAATGCTAGATGAGCTGACTGTCATCTTTATTTTTTAACACCAAAGTAAATACGGATCATGTATGGCCATGTGGGGTTTTTTTTTCAGTATATGAACTTGAGGCTTTAAATGAAAGCAGCAGCATACAGTGTTAGAACAAATAAAGCAGATTTTTTTTTAACATAATTATGTAGATTAAACTGAAATCCCTCTTTTCTTGATGTCATAGGTGTATAAGGTTTGTATGCAGTCAAACAGAAGAGAACAAGTTCATGGACTAAAACTCCAGTAAGGGTAGCTGCTAAATACAGAGATAATGCTTCTAATGCCAGAAGACCTGGGTGATAGGATATTTACACATACATGCAAACACATGAACCCACCCACCCTCTTAATGGGAGGGGGCTTTGTCAAAGAACAAAACTGGGGGGTGGAGGAGTTGATCATTTGCTCCTACCAGGAACTGAGGTTACTTCTATACTTGAAGCCATGCATATGACTAAAAGGTAAGTTATTTAGTGACAAAGTATTGTGTTTGCACTGTTTTTTGGTTTGTGAGCATCTACTTTTGCCTACTGTCAAAATGATAGTATAATTTTCCAAGGAAATCCTTATAGAAGGATCTCTTTGATCTGAAGATAAACGAGAATATTTTACCTTGTTGCAGAATCATCTAGGTTGGAAGAGACCTTGAAAATCATGTAGTCCAGCCATTAATCTAACACTGACCCTTCTCAACTACACCGTATCTCTCAGCACTATGTCAGCCCGACTCTTAAACACCTCCAGGGGTGGGGACTCCACCACTACCCTTGGCAGCTCATTTCAATGCCCAATAACCCATTATGTAAAGAAATACTTCCTAATATCTAGTCTAAACCATCCCCAGAGCAATTTGAGGCCATTACCTCTTGTCCTATTGCTTTTTACTTGGTTACAGAGACTCATCCCCAGCTCTCTGCACCCTCCTTTCAGGTAGCTGTAGAGGGCGATGAGGTCTCCCCTCAGCCTCCTCTTCTCCAGACTAAACACCCCCGGTTCCCTCAGCCGCTCCCCGTATGACCTGTGCTCCAGACCCTGCACCAGATTCGTTGCCCTTCTCTGGACATGCTTGAGTCATTCCATGTCCTTTTTGTAGTGAGGGGCCCAAAACTGAACACAGGAATCGAGGTGTGGCCTCACCAGTGCCGAGTACAAGGGTCAGATCCCTTCCCTGTCCCTGCTGGCCACGCTATTGCTGACACAAGCCAGGATGCCATTGGCCTTCTTGGCCACCTGGGCACACTGCTGGCTCCTGTTCAGCCAGCTGTCAATCAACCCCCCCAGGTCCCTCTCTGACAGGCAGCTCTCCAGCCATTCCTCCCCAAGCCTGTAGCGCTGCTGGGGGTTGTTGTGGCCCAAGGGCAGCCCCCGGCATTTGGCCTTATTGAAACTCCTCCAGTTGGCCTCAGCCCATGGCTCCAGCCTGTCCAGGTCTCTCTGCAGAGCCTCCCTACCCTCGAGCAGATCAACACTCCCACCCAACCTGGTGTCATCTCCAAACTGACTGAGGGTGCACTCAATCCCCTTGTCTAGATCATCAATAAAGATTTTAAACAGGAGTGGCCCCAAAACTGAGCCCTGGGGAATACCACTGCTGACCAGCTGCTGACTGGATTTAACTCCCTTCACCACAATTCTTTGGGCCCAACCATCCAGCCAGTTTTTTTACCCAGCAAAGCACGTGCCCATTCAAGCCACAAGCAGCCGGTTTCGCCAGGAGAATGCTGTTGGGAATGGTGTCAAAGGACTTACTAAGGTCAAGGTAGACAACATCCACAGCCTTTCCCTCATCCAATAAGCAGGTCGCCCTGTTGTAGAAGGAGATCAGGTTTGTCAAGCGGGATCTGCCTTTCATAAACCCATGCTGACTGGGCCTGATCACCTGGTTGTCCCACATGTGTTGTGTGATGGTACTCAGATGAGGTGCTTCATCAGCTTCCTGGGCACTGAAGTCAAGCTGACAGGCCTGTAATTTCCCCGATCATCCTTCAGACCTTTCTTACACATTAGCCAATTTCCAATCTGTCGAGACCTCTCCAGTCAGCCAGGACTGCTCGTAAATGATGGAAAGCGGCTTGGCAAGCACCCCAGCCAGCTCCTTCAGCACCCTTGGGTGTATCCCATCTGGTCCCATAGACTTGTGTGTGTCTGTGTGATGCAGCAGGTCACTGACTGTCTCCTCCTGGATTGTGGGGGGAGTCGTTCTCCCAGTCTCTGTCTTCTGGCTGAGGAATCTGGGTTCCCTCAGCACAACTAATCTTGTTATTAAAGACAGGCAAAGAAGGCATTAAGCACCTCAGCCTTCTCCTCATTGCTTGTTACCATGTTTTCTCCTGCATCTAGCAGGGGATGGAGGCTCTCCCTGGTCTTTTTTGTGCTGTTGAAGTACTTATAGAAAATTTCTTTTCATCTTTCACTGCTGAAGTCAGATTAATTTCTAGCTGGGCTTTAGACCTCCTGATTTCTGCCCTGCATAGCCTTACAACCTCTTTGTAATCACTGTGTGTGGCTACAGCCCCTTCTTCCAAAGGCTGTAAACTCTCATTTTCTCCTGGAATTGCAGTAAAAGCTCCATGTTTAGCCAGGGTGGTCTTCTCTGCTGCTGGCTTCTCTTACAGCACCTGGGGATAGCCTGCTTCTGTGCCATTAAGACTTTTTTCTTAAAGAGCACCCAGCCTTCCTGGACCCCTATACCTTTAAGTACCGTCTCCCAAGGGATCCTGTCAAGCAGGTGCATAAACCAGACAAAGTCAGCCCTTGGGAAGTCCAGGAAGTCAGTTCTGTTGCCCCTTCTTCTGGCATCTCTAAGAATAGGTAATTCTGTTATTTCATGATTGTTGTGCCCTAGTCAGCCTCCAACTGCCACATCATCCACCAGTCCTCCTCTGTTCAGAAAGAGGAGATCCAGCAGGGCACCTTCTCTAGTCGGTTCTCTCACCACCTGCATCAGGAAGTTGTCTCCCACACATTCCAGGAATCTCTGGAACTGGTCCTGCTCTGCTGTGTTGTATTTCCAGCAAATTTCTGGGAAGTTAAAGTCACCCACAAGAACAAGTGCAAGCGATTGTGAGATTTCTTCTAAATGCCTATAGCATATTTCATCCATCTCTCTGTCCTGGTTGGGTGGCCTGTAGTAGATTCCTACAACATCTGACCTGTTGGCCTTCCCCCAGTTCTAATTGAAAGACATTCCACCCTGTCTTCACTACACCTGTGCTCAAAGTAATCATAATAATCCCTAACATACAGCGACACCCCATTGCATCTCCTTCTTTGTCAATCCTTTCTAAAGAGCTTGTAGCCATCAACTGGCACACTACAGTCATGGGTGACATCCCACCATGTTTCTGTAATAGCCACCACATCATAGTTTTCCTGTTTCATCATGGCTTCAAGCTCCTCCTGTTTGTTACCCATGTTGTGTGTATTGGTATAGATGCTCTTCAGATGGGCTGATGTCCCCAGCACCTCTTTGCATTTAGAGGTCCTAATTTCAGCCTGATCTTTCACAGGTTTACCACAGTTACTGAACCATCCATATCCCTTGTATCTCTGTTGTGCTTCATGTCTCCAGCCCTTGCCTCCACTGAGATGGCAGGGTGAGGGTTGTCACTGGCACACCATCCCACAAACTGTGGTAATCTACCCTATGGCTTATGTCTGGCAGTTCCAGTTTTGTCCCCTTCCCCCTTCAAATCTAGTTTAAAGCTCTCTCAGTGAGCCCAGCTAACTCCTGCCCCAAGATCCTTTTCCCCCTCTAGGACAAGTGCATCCCATTTAATGCCAAAAGGTCTGGCATCCTGTATACTAACCTGTGACTGAAGAATCCAAAGCCCTGCCTGTAACACCAGTCTCAGAGCCACAAGTTCATCTGTTGTCTTCTCCTGTAATTTTCCTTATCCATCCCTGCAACTGAAGGGATGGAGGAGAACACAGTTTGTGCCCCTAACCCCTTAACCAGTTTCCCCAAGGCTCTGAATGTCTCTCCATTGATTTTGGACTTCTGGTAATATCATCACTACCCACCTGAAAAACCAAGAGAGGTCTCACTAGAGTGGGGAGTTTTATCGTGAGATACCCAGGCCCCAGGGAGGCAGCAGACTTCCCTATGAAGCAGGTCTGGTTTGCACATTAGGCCTTCAACACCCCTCAGAGTAGAGTCACCCACTACAATGACCCTTCTGGGGTTCTTTTTAGAATTGGTTTTAATACATGGTCTAGGGTGACCTAGCCTTGGTGGACCTTCATCTTCTTCCTTTTTTGATTCATTTTCTTCATTTATAAGTTCCAGGGCCCCATATCTGTTGAGAGGGGGCACCAAGGAAGGTGAAGGAGGTCTGGAGGGGATTTTCCTGCCTCTCTGAGCAAGGCTCTGTTTCCAGTCTCCCCCATCTCAGGTCCCCTCCTTCTGCCTGGTAGCAAGAGCACCGGTGAGTGATCGCCTGCCTCTTGGAGATTCCATTTGTTCCTTTTGCTTCTGGGGTGCTAAGGTGCTACTCCACCAATTAATTTCCTTTTCACACTCCCTAATACTTCTTAATCTTTCAACCACTTCTTTGAGGTCAGCCACAAGACTGAGCAGGTCATCCAGCTGATTGCAGCACACACAGGTGCTGTCACTGCCACTGCTGCCCTCCAGCAGAATTGACAGGCTCAAGCTTTCCCTGCAGCCAGGGACCTGGACCTCTGCATGTTTGCATGGAATCTCTGTCTGGGTCACCAGGTTCCTTCTGGTGATTGTTTTGACCTGAGTGGAGACTATAGCTCAGTCTGCT